TCATTATTTTTAATACATCTTATTAAATGTAACGTTTTTAACAGAGATATTGAATACAATAGACTAAAAAAGATTTTAAGATTGTTTTTTTTATATATATATATATATATATATATGTATACATTTGAAGAGGAAATAATATCTGAGATTTCTAATAAATAGTTTGTACGATGAAATATCGCATGGTAATTATAATATTACATAATCTTTAAAACTTTAAAACGAAAGTGGTTTGTTCGTATTAAACAAAAAGCAAAGAAAGAAAAACAAGAATAATGAACAGTACTTTAGTACTTGTATTGTAATCATAATAAAAATTATTATTATTATTTTAACTCAGAAATGGTACTTGAAAACAACATAATATTATTAATAAATACAATTCTATTTATTGATTACATATTTTTGCATCGCTTAGTGCCATTTCAGGGTTCCAGTAACGACAATTACACATTATTGTTCTTCTTATATTGTAAATATTAGTAAAAAGATCAATATGTGTGAAGTCAATAATATAGAAAGTATTTTTTACATACAAACCGTATTGTGAAACTGTTAAGTAAATTTCATTTAGTCATTATCATTTAAGTACTATTATATATCCCTCTATATGTATAAATTTAATCTTTATTATATAAACAAATTTAAAACATATAAAACCTGTATTAAATAAAAACATTTCTTTTTTTCTATATTCCATCCTTATAAAGTATTTTATAAGAGTAAATAAATTTAATTTTACATATATTTATAATATTTAATTACATCATATATAGATAAATAAAAAAATAACGAGGTAAAAATTGATTTGTAAATAAATGTAATTTTTTTTATCGTAATGAATTATTCTATTAAATTTATAATATATATAATCAAGTTTTTATTTACAGCGATTACAATAAATTATAATAATTGAAATAGATTGAAATTTAATAAAATACAGTGGCACAGTAACGTGAAATTTTTCTATCTATAACATTTCTGTGTTGTTTTGTTTTTCTTTCTATCTTTTTCTCTTTATCTTTATC